ACAAGACTCCACTATAATTCAGCCCCCTAAATCTGCTACGTATCTCCATTGTCCAAACATTTATAGAAAGGACTGGTGGTCTCTAAGCTCTCCAAAGTGGGAAAGTTACTTTTCCAGCCTTGTACCATGAGGTTCACCAGGTGTGCAGAGAGAGCACTGTTAGCCCCAGGAGAGAGCTCTGTATTGTATGTAGAGGCCCCAACCACTGTTCGCGCTACTTAACGAGAAGGAATATATCCATGCCTCTTTCCTAAAAAGTATTGTAGGACCATGTTTGAATAATAGCATATGCTCGCGTAGGACTTGCTGTTTGTCAGGCACATTTCTAAGCCTTTATAATGCTTAACTCATTCACAAGTCTATGACATAAGTACTACCATAATTCCTATTTTATATATATGTAAAATACAACATAAAGACTAAACTTGCACAAGATTGCACAGCCAACAGCTTAAATCCAGACAGCCTGGCCCTGGTGGTCATCATGCTTTACTAACAATGCTGTCCTGCCTCTCTGGGAAGAACCATGCTGTTATTTGTAAGCTCCAGAGTCATGACATTTGGGATAAAGTGATGACTTGTATGAAAAAAAAAAAGAATAAATTCCATTCTCTGTGACTTCAGGCAAGACATGTACCTTTATATGCCCCTAATAGAACATTTAGCAATTTGCTTTGGCTTCAAGCAAATGACCAAATTTCATTCTTCTTTAGAGAATTAGATATTCTGTAGGAAATGATGTCTTTTAAGTACCAAATTGTGGTATTATTAACAATTTTCTTATATAAGTGAAATTTTCTCATATTGTGTCTGAATAAACTAATAGCATCTAGGAGGGTCACAGGAAGGGCTCCTCTTCATGAAAGCCATTAACCTAAGAATGGCCCTTAGAGCCCCATTGAATTCTAAATGCATTTTCTAATTTTTAAATCTAGGAACAAAATTCTAATATTGCAGGTAATTAAATTCATTCTGAGAAAAGTATTCGTATGTGTGGGTTGTTTTGCTAGCATTTGAACAGAATATTAATAGCAAACTGTGGGGCCTTTTTTGTTGGTTACCTTGAGCACTGGATAAACATTGACCTATTTTAAATTGCTCAGTGACTCATCCACAAAGCTCCAGATCATAAGTACAGCATTTAAATAGAGACACAAATGCCGTAGTAGAGATTTCCCTCACTTCAGTGACTCTGCTTCCTATCACAAAGCCCTCTAATTTGAGGTGTGCCAAAAATAACATGGCCCATATGGAGCCATAAATTAACAGTTTCCAGAAATAGGACCACTTTATCAAAGACTCAATTCCAAAACTAAAATGTCACATAATACCATGTCCATGTTTTGATGTCAAGGAACTTTCTATCAATATTCTAGTGCCATAAAAGAAATGTAAAATGAGCATATCTCTAATTTTTCTGATGATTAAATATCATAGTCAAAATTTTTAAATCACTCCAATGTCCTGCAGAAAAAAAAAAAAATGGGGAAAACAGTAATTTCAAGAGAATAGGCTTTCCAATATCCTAAGGAACATGGTCACAAAATAAGAAAGGGTTCTTGGAGAAGACAGAGTAAGCCTTTGTACCAAATAGAAAATATCTAGTTTAGCAGAGCAAATACTTGTGAAAAATTATAAGCAAACTACTAAATGCACTTTGCCTTCGTCTTCGTTTACCAGTTTTCCCTTATCCTCTCTAAACCTATCTAATTTCCTTCTGATGTTCTCTATATATACAAAAAGGAAAAGCATTTTTCTGTGACAAATGAGCTTGGATTTTTACCTCCAATGCAGATGATTAGAAAAAGGAAAAGCAACAGCATGGGACAAACTGAAGTCGATAGGCTCAACTCAAACATGGAGATCATCCATCCATGTGACTTGTCATGAATCATTTAACCTCCTTAGGCCACTGTTTTCTCTTCTGCAAAATAGAATTAATACCTGCTTGCCTCACAGATTGTTATGAGATTATCTTGTGGCCCATTGTGCATGGTAAACCACGACGTGCTACAGACACACCAAATGTTATGTGGGATTTTATTTAAAATGTTATTAAACTCCTTCTGCCAAAGGCACGAGACCTAATATCTGCTATTATTTCTTTGTTAAAAGGAGAGATCTGCAAATGTTGAGGAACTGTTAAAGGCAGAGAAGCACCAAAAATGAGATTTTTTTCTTGATGCAATCAAAAGATGGGAAAAGAACTGAATAAAGAATAGCAGTTATTTAATGTTTAATGAGTGTAACCTAACCCTTTGGAAGGACCAAATGACCTTTGTTCCACCTAAAATCATCTCTGTTCCATCAGTGATAGGCACCCCACACTTTGGAAAACACCAACCCAGAGAATTCTACTTCTAGCATTCTACAGTTCTTGTTGTTCTTTGGCTAAAATGATTTAGCCAACACCTCACTTCAGTCAGTTGTGAAATTGTGCTCAAAAGTAAAGGATTGTTAAATGTCTTTCAGCTCTCCTAACCACTGAAAGCCACAATCAGCTACACAGCACATCAATCCTCAATTTTTACAAAGTGACAGACTGGCTACAAGTGACAGACAGATCCCTCAAATAGATAATGATCTCAGGGAACTGGGATTTCATTACAGATGGTTGGCCATGGAAAACAAATTTTGAGTTGTTATCAAATTGAACACCTGCAGATGAATGATTGGATCTATCAAATGACTAATCAGGAGAATCCCTGCTGCTGATAATCATGTACAACATTCACGTACTCTTGATATTGCAGAACTCTCCAGACCCATCCACTTGGGTTACCTGTCAAGTAGACACATGCCCAGGTATGAATGCTCATGTCTTCACTCTTCAAGAAAATTAACTGGCAACACAAACGTTATCATGTCACTCTCTGCTTAAATCCTTCAATGGCCTCTCATTGCCTGAAGGATAAACCCAAAATCTCTACCATGACCTCCAGAGTCCACCATGACCTTTTCCCTGCTCACCCCTCTGCAGCCTCATCTTGTTCCACTCTTTAATTTGCTCTCTGTGTTCCAGCCATACTGACCATTTATTTTCTCCAAACTAGGCCTGTCTGTGCCGTTTTGTCTGTGGAATGCTCTTACCCAGCCCCACCCCATGCCCAACCTGCCAATGCTCATTCATTCAAGTCTCAGATAAAACTTCCTCAGAGGAATTTTCCCTGAAACTCCTAGATTAGATTAGGTTCATCTGTCACAAACTTCTCTACTTCTTTGCTGACAATCACAGGTGAATTGCTCATTTATGCCTTTCTACTCCACTGGCGCATAGCTCATTGAAGGCTGGGAGTGTATATATCTCATCTATCCCATAAATCCCTGGCATATCCCAAAGTCTGGCAGTAAGTAGATATTCACTATGCATTTTTTGAATGAATGAATAGTTTCAGGCTGATCCATAGTTAAGGCCACAAAGTCATCTGGAACAACTTAATTTTGAGAGAGGACCTGGTATTTTTTTTTCCAACCTCATTTGGATCATCCTCTTTTTCTAAATGTGTATATTCTTGATATAGGTCTTCCTCATAGAATGGGACAGAGGACAGGGTGACCCAATCCTCCTCCCTGCTGAGTGACCTCGGAGGATCCTTGGTATAGTTCTGTCATGGGGAATGCCATGTCCTCAAAGTAGGGATACCATAATGTCCAATCTAATGCATTCAGGGGAACCTCACACAACCCAGGGCATAGAAGACCACTGATATGAAGACATTCTTAAACCTCCCATCTTGCCCTTTTTTAAGCAATAACATTTGTCTTGCTTTCATGTTGATAAAAATTTCACAACTGCTTGCTCAAGTAGCCACAGTGATGGTGAGAGGCAGTGGTATGGTGCACTTGGTGTAAAAAGCATCACCATGGTATAGTATAAAGAGCACTGGACCAGAAGTCAGAAGAACTGGGTTCTGGTTCTGGCTCTGCCATGTATTTGCTGCATGGGCTTAAGAATTTGGTTCTTTCTGGCTAAAATGTCCTGCCTACGAAGTAGGATAAATCTCTTGTCTGTAGGGTTCCTGTAAGCAGCAAGTGACAAAATAATTTATTTTTCTATTTTATCTGGGAGTTGCTGATACTTCAGTGATGAAAGCAATTTGTAAAGAGTAAAATACTAGGAAAAATATGGTAACTTAGCTACTGATCCTTTGAGCAGTTTTATCATCTTTATATTGAGTAGTCTCTGTTGTTAATAAAATGACTTTTCCTTCCCTGCTATTTGATAGCTGGTAGAGAGAAGGAGCCACCTTCTCAACAGGCTAGTGAGAGAGAAGTTAAAATTAGTTGTGATTAATATATAGTCAAGACATAATTGAGCATTGATTGGATATGATGTACCTCCCCTGTTTTCATTCATTCTTCTATAGTATAAAAACTATCTTTTAATAAGATAGCCAATATGATACCACCTTATTCAGACTGTTTTTTGCTGTAACAGAGCAAAAGCTTGACATAAAAATGATGAACTGAATCCTAGGCCAAACAGGCTACCATCTACATGAAATGATTTTAGAGGAAACATAACTCCTATCTGCTTGCTGATGTTGGAAAATCCACTAATGAGATACAATGTTTATTTTCACCATTAGAGATGGTATTGCAATCTCAATCTCCCTTAGGAAAATAATATGATAAATTCTTACCAAGATGCAGTTGACTAATTGAAGACATCTTTATAAAAGAACTTGAAGAAGAGAGCATTAGACACATGTTATATGAGAAAAAGAAAGAGAGAGAAAAAAGAACTAAATCAATCTTACTATTTTATTAGGTTAGACATGAAAACGGATTTATTTGTAATAACACAGCAGTTTAATTTATAAAAGCATAGCAATTTAAATTATCACATTTGAAATAACCATTGTAAGAAAAATTGGGGAAGAAGTAACTGCAATCTAAAGTAAACCCTCATAATGCTTTCTTGGGTTCTATAATATTTCTCAGACATATGTACTAAATAGAAGTTAATTGACCTGGTTTTTCATTGTTTTTAATTGCAGACTCATAAATGAATCTTTGAGGGACCAGCTATTGGTGACTATCCAAAAGACTTTCACATACACTCGAACCCAAGCTCAGCATCTGTTCATCATTCTCATGGAGTGCATGAAGAAGAAGGAATTGGTACGTAATTCCTCATGCGTGGCCGGGTCCTCTCCACATTTCCAAACATTTTCATGAATCACACACCATTTTCTCTTTCTGGCTAAGCTTCGAACCCTCCTCAGGCTCCATTGGCTCCCGAAATTTCCTCCTCTAAATAACTAAGACAGGAGCTCTTTTTCTGCTCTAGATTTAATGAAGTGTGTGCAGCAGGGTTTTAGCATCATTTCCTTTTGGAGCTCGTCCAAATGCTCTGACTGCCCCAGCCAAATGAGTTGAAGAGAAGAAATAGGTTTCCTCCTGGAAAATGCTTCAGCTGATCCTCTTAGATTTGGGGTTTCATTTCGCTTGTGAGAAATGAATCACTGATGTGCTTTGTGTAGAATGTCTTTAGTGACACAGGTTCCAGGCAAATCTGATCATGTGTGCAGGCAGAAAAGGGAGAAATGTACTCAAGGAATGCTGGAAAGGTCTGTAGTGTCTGACATGTTCTTTAGTTGCTACTAAAGCATTTCTTCCATCAGAGCAAAATGTCTTACAAATGTGGTATAATCAGAAACCCTCTGTTAAGGTGAACAGAAATTACAGGAGCTAACATTTAACAAGCACTTGTGATATGCCAGGCAGGGAGCAAAACCTTTATACATATTGTGTGATCTTTGCAGCTGTCCTGATAAAAGTGGCATAATTATTATCCTCACTGTACAGATGAGGAAACTCAGACTCACTTGCCTAATAAATGAGGAACTAGGACTCAAAACTAGTGATGTTTAATCTCTGTGGGAAATATTTTTACTTTGAGATTGTCTCCTTGAAGTCAATGTAGTGAATCTTCCACTCGGGGTAAGTTCTCATCAGGCCAAGAGAGAATGTTCTCAAAGATCAGGTGAGCCCAGCTGCTCACAGGGATGTCAAAACATTTAGAAAAAGAGGAGGAACTGGTTAGAGTAGACAAGACTCATTTCTGGAAGGCATCCACACAGCCTCTGTGGGAAGCCTTCCAGCAGCTTCCAAGTTTGGGATGAGAGGAGTGGAGATGAGGGACGCAGTCTGGCCACCCCAAATCAAGAAGCCAGCAAGCACATGGGGCACACAGTCACGACTGCTGTCGTCTCAGGAAAGCCTCTCCCAACCCTGAAAGTGCCACCCGTGTGTGATATCCCCCAATCTTGGATGTGGTTAGCTCATGGCCTTACAGCTCACGTGCTTCTCCACCCAAGGAGGTGCTGAAACTCTGATCTTCCACATGTGACAGTGGAGTTTTTCTTCTGCGTGCTGATGGTTTTCCAATGCTGCCTGAGAAACCTTACCAGAGCTATACATTTCCACAGTGCTACCAATTTCCTAGAAAGGCAGCGAGGAGCAAAATTCAAAGAACCAGCTGGAAGTCATAAAACCAAATGAAGCTGAATGAATTCCTCTGAGCATTTCATGGAACTGCTCTGTGGGATTCGGCCTAATCATCATGTCATTGAATCATGGCCCCTGCTGAAAAAGTCAACTGCATAGCAATGCAAGTTATGCATTATAAGCAATGTGAGGTATTCTGGGCTCCAGGTTAAGGAACTGTGTTCTTAACAAGCAGTACATTATCTTATCTCCACATCTGAGCTAAAACAAATGAGAAATTTTTAAAATTATAATTACAATATAATTGCAATAGTTTTCATTTCGGAGGGACTGTTTATGAGCACAGAGAGTACTAGATGCCCTACAAATGAGGCAGACGTGAGGCAGGTATTGCTTTTCTCCATTTGCAGGGCAGGGGCCGGCACTGAGAGTAGGAGAGATGAGGAGGTGGCACACAGCTAGGAAGAGCCGAGCTAGGACTGCCTTGCTGTAGAATATTACTCACGCATCAGGCAGCACACAAAACAAGAAAGCATTGCACAGTGGAGTTCCTCTTTTATATCCTTCAAAGTTTTTTTATTCCCTTTACAAACTATATGGTGCATAATATTATGAGCCCAATCAAACCACTGCCAAGTTCAGCTAAGGGATTTGGTTCTAGAGCTGATGAGATATATTTTTCATCCAAGCACCTAATGAGCTTACAGAATAGAGACCTGCACTGTGGATGCATATTGATTAATAGCTTGTGAAACCTGGGCCTCTGGGTGGTGTGGCCTCGTGGAAAATATGGGCCCTGCATGGTGTCCTGGTAGGTGGCTCAGTCCCTCATGTCACCATACAGAGATACTGCCATGCTTTCTACACATTTCATGTAGTGCTTGAAGAAATTCACTCATTTCTCTGCTTGCGCAAAACCTGTTTTGCACCCTCTGAGAAGATATGTCCCCGTAAAATCCAACCCATGAGCTAAGTTCACATCAATGGTTTCACACTAAAAAAAAAATTAAAATTAAAGAGATAAAAACTGTCCACAGCATGTTAATTTGGAAGCAGATGTAAGGGATCAGGACTTAGCGCCCCTCCACACTCGTCCTTCTGTAGAGGGATCTGTGCATAAGGAACATCAAGGAAAAGAGGACCCTGGGTCCTGAAAAGAGGACCCACGATAAGGCTGACCATGTGTGTAGAAACCACAGAACCTTTTCGTTCCAGAGAGTAGTGCCACCCCCTTCTCTCCCGTTGCCTCCCAGAGCTCCTGTTGGCCCTCTGAGCTCCTGCCAAGGGTTGTCCCATCACCATGGCAACCCCATGCTGGGGCAATCCATTGGCCCTTGATACCCTAGAGTGAAGGGGGAGGGGCAGACTCAGCATTGTAAGCCCCACGGTATGTGTGTCCCGAACAAGTCGTGGTGGGTGACACCACCAGGCCTGCTCCTTCCTCACCACCTCCCACTTCCACACTGGTGACTCCTCTAGTTCACTGTCCTCCCCTGCCAGCTGCTGGGCCTCTCAGCGTCCTGTGCGATTCATCTTTCTATCACTTCCCGGTCACACCTGGGAGTCATGTCTCCACTCAAAGCTGATGCTGCTCCAAAATCTAAGACATTTAAATTCACTCCCTGCTCCAAACACAGCTGCCCGCTCTCCCCTGCTCCCATCACTTCATTCGCACTGAACCTGAACTTGGATGCCGGGCTTCCCTGTAACTCACTAGCCTGAGATCAGACGCTTCAGGTAATCTACATGGAAAGATGTTTAAAACTGTAGTTTTCTTTTCCCTGTGCCTTCTTGAGAGTCCGTGCTATGTATTTCCACTCCCCCCACATCTGAGTTTGCTTACCTGTTTACTCCTCTATTCTATGTACCGAATGCTTCTCTGTATCATTCCCAGAACTGAGTCATGTGGTTCTAATTCAACTAGGCTTTCGATAATGCTGAGCAATCCCTGTACTCGTCTCTGGTGGATAGCCATCCCATTCCCTGCAATCCTCGCTCTAAACCTTTCATATGCTTTTCAAGTTTCAAACCACATCCACTTCCCCTTATTCTTTTTATAGATTAACATTTTAAATGCTAATCCTCGGTTGCTGCGTGTGTTATTAGATATCTTTTCTCAGTTTGGGGCTTGTTTCTTCACTATATTAATGGCGTCCTTTGATAAACAGAAATTCTCAAATGTAATGTGCAGTCAGGCATGGCTTAAGGACAGGAATACATTCTGAGAATTGAGTGGTTGGGTGATTTCATTGTTGTGAAAACATTATAGAGTGTATTTACACAAACCCAGGTGGTACAGCCTAGTGCACACCTAGGCTATGTGGTATAGCCTATTGCTCCTAGGCTACAAACCTTTAGAACATGTTACTGTACTGAATACTGTAGGAAATTGGAACACCACAGTATTTGTGTATCTAAACATAGAAAAGGTACAGAAAAAAGGCAGTGTTATAATCTCATGGGACCACCATTATATATGCAGTGAACTGTGGAACAAAACATTGTTATGCAGTACATGTCTGTAGTTAAAGTTTGTCAGCCTTTTCAATGTTTTGTTCTTCTTGCCTCTTGTTTAATAAACCCTTCCCTATCCAACTGTCAAAAAGATATTCTTCTATATTTTCTTCTAAAATGTATTTGGTTTCAAACCTGTCACATTAAATCTGTAACCCAAAAATTGATTTTTTTTTGTATATGGTATGAACTAGGAATCCATATGTTTGCCTAACTGACCTTGCACCACTTACTGAATGGTGCATCCTTATGTTGCATCATGCCAGCTCTGTCCTCAGTCAACTCCCCACACATGCATGAGTCTTTCTGCCTTCTCTACTTGTCTAGTCCTGCCCCAGTGCCCTACTTTTCTAATTGGCACATAATAGCTTTACAGTAAACCCTGATGTATGACAGGGCAAGTCACACTCCTTGTTATTGTCCAGGATTGCCAACTGCTTTAGCCCTTTGCTCTTATTTATAAATGTTAAAGTCGGGCTTGTCAAATTGCACACACGCACACACACACACACACACACACACACACACATACTCTGTTGGGATGTCGATTGAAATTACATTGAACTTAGAGATTCAATCTCCTCATGCTCAACAGAAAACTTATTTAAGCTCCCCCACCTTCTTCCCCTCTACCCCCATGTGACTGTATCTTGGTCAATGCTTTTTTTCTTCTATCTGGTAGCAGAGGAAGTAGCACCCCTCTTCTCCTCTAAGATCAGTCTCTAGACTTAAAGAACACCTCTCATCACTTTGCACTTCCTCTGTGATCTTGCCCTAGAAAATGTACATTTCTTGAACAGTAACCCTCTTCCTTACTCCCTCTGCAGTGGGCTCTACTTTCATCTTTTCCACCTTCCTAAAGCTTCAGTGACACTGCGTTTTTCTGCTAGTCCTTCAACTTTTCTGTTTCTCTTCCTCTTTTCCTTGCCCTTCTTATTGACTTTGTCCATAAATGCAAACATTACCTAAAGCTTTATTCTTGGTCCTTTTTTCATTTGTGTCATATTTTTAGAGAAGTAATTTAAAATCTCCTACCATTGGGGATCGTATTAATTTCTCCATGAAATTTTGTCAAATTTTTGCTTTATGTATTTTGAGATTGTGTTATTAGGCTCAGAATTTTTTTTTTTTTTTTGAGACAAGGTCTTGTTCTGTTG